GGGAAAAACAAAAAATTATAACTTTATGAGCGACAGTGTAATAATAATAATGCAAATAATAATGATAATGATAACAATGATTATAACAATAATAGTTATTATAATAATAATAACAATAATATTAATAATACAGTAACAGTAACATCAATAATGATAATAATTGGTAATAATAATGATAACGATAACAAAGATATAATTCTTTGTCTGATTTTTAAGTGTTTGATGTTTCTCGGTAGCAGTTCTATTTCTTTTCATATTTCGATGACTACCGATGAAAATGTTTTGAATCTCATTTTGAGTTTGACTGATCTATTGTACCTAGATTGGCATGACAATGATTCAGATATGGGGCATGTTATCATCGGCTATGCACTGTTTTGTTGGTAACGGCAATATATGTTAACAAAGGGAAGGGCACTGGACTATACAGTAGGTTTTCTGAGTCAAAGTTGTAATTTCGTTGATTAGTCGAGTATATCATTACGGTTCGATTAATCCGGCAAAAACATAGCTCTACTAAACTATTAATCAAACCTTTCGGTCATAGATCTACGTTTGATGTAAAAGGATGTATTTATGAATAAATGATATGTAGACACAGTTTGATTATGTTAAAATCATTGAAATAATATATCTGCCGAAAGGATCTCTTGTGCATTAAAATCAAAATTATGCGAGTGATCATGACGATGATTCAATAGTATTTTCAGATTCCCAGAAAACATCCATTATATTTTATGACTCATGTATACTTATGTAAGTTTTCTGTGTCAGACATGATTTACATCAGCAAATGTTTTTTTTCTCACCATCATCATTATCATCATCATCACCAGTTTTTGTTGTATTTTTTTATCATCACCCCCCTTCCATTTCCCCCGGGCTATCACGCAATCAAGCGATTGTTTATTGTAATAGGCCCTATCCCTTATTCTTCTGCAAATTTCCTGATGAAAAATTCTTCTTATTGCGTTATCAGATACATATTGCTTTAATGTCATCATTTATTATTATTATCATATTGTATACACATTAAATAAACTTGTTATATTTTGTTTATGTTATATTGCTGAAATTTGATTTGATTTGTATGTTGCAGAAGAAAATCAATTCAATTCAATTCATTGTCAGAACCAGAAGGCGGGAAGGATGACAGACCTTGGACTGTCATTTACGTCCTAAAAATAATCCTCAGCCTTTGTTCTTTATTATTACTAATTGTGTCGCAAGCACTCTTGATGGATTTTGCAACAAAGCCCCAAACAGATTGAATAATTCATTTAATAAATGAAGTCGTTCTGCATTTACACAATGGCTAGTCCAATAGTCCTAATGCTCAAGCTCGTTCAGCTCGCTGTCCATTAGGTGGTTAGGATTCTTCTAGGTGTACTGTATACATTAAACTATTCAACATCAATTTGAATTCAATGATTCCATGAAGTATAAAGTGCAACCTGTTGCCTTCCAGTGCACAGAGTTTCAGGTCATGATCTAGGTTAGATGTTAAATCACTTGATTTGCTTTTCTTAGCTTTTTTAGTTAGCTTTTTTGTTTTGTTGGGGGAGGGGGATTAGCACAGATAAAATGTTTGTTCGTTTGTTTCTTTTAAGTTTTTATTTTTATTTCAATGCGATGTTTAAAAAATACTGCCTTTAACCGCAAGGCTGTTTTTAGCAATTCTGTAACAAAGAGAGAACAACATTACAAAAATCCAACATCAATAACAATTTAAAATCATTTACAAAGGAAAGACAAATACAGAAAAAGAGAAGAAAGCTAGTAGGGAAGATAGAAGAAGAGGAAGACCAAGAAGGGATTTACGAGTAATAAGTGTCATGGTCGTATCTCAATATGTTTTTAATAGTCATTGGGAGGATAATCGGATGCATTTTTTTAAAATCCGGTAGCTTTGTTTGCGTTTTTTCAGTTTGAAGGAGGTTACTAAATAAGTGACTCTCAGAGTATATTGTGATGGTTTTTCTTCTTAATGTTAGTGTGGGTTTGGGAAGGATAATAATCCGTTCTAGATGTCTGAGAGAGTGGTGTGTTTAACTTCAACTTGGAGCTTAATACGATTACTACAATCGGAGCTATCGATTGGACGTGGACGCAGGATGGGATAATCTTCACCATTATTGCAAGAGAGAGAAAGCGGGTGATAATCCAGAACCCGAGGCACATCGATCGCCTTGGTTAGTCACGATAAACTACATATTAATTATGGCATATTAATTATCATGCCCATCCGTTATTCGTGCATCATAATTATGTGAAGGAACAGTGGGAATAACAAGGACAGAGATAGACATGGTGGGGGTGTAGCAGCATTTATTAAAACTTATTTAAATTTTAAGTTTATTTCACATTTCACAAATAAAAAGTATTCACATAATTACAAAATTAGAACATAATATGAAATATTCTAAAAGTGTCACATGATATAATCAATTCTTTGAAAAGACGTCGAAATTAATTGTAATGAATATAAGGTTATACAGAGTGAAATGTGAGGAACCTATTAAAAAGCTCAGCTTGTAGATTATAGGTTCCCATGAATAAAACTAACATTTGGTTGAAGTAGTTGTAATAGTAGAGGACGTAACAATAATAATAGGTGGGCAAGAAGCCTTGACATAAGATGATTATACAACGTGAAACAAGCAAATATAACAAAAATAACAAATACAGCGAGCAAATTAATTTGTTACCAAAGAAATGAGACAATAGTCACTTTAAAATATTGAGGTAATTAAACGAGGTCATTGAACGAGTTCACCCGAGCGTAATACGTGAAGATTTGATGGAAAATGGTCTAGAACTATTGACGCGGCTGTTGAGATGCAGTTCTCGCATATAAAAAAAAGTTCTATGTGTATTGTTAGGTACAGACCACCTAATTCTTGTGTTTAAGTTTTTGGGAAATTTTGAAATGTATCACAAAGACTTGATGATATGAATTATGATTGTGTAATACTTGGTGACATTAAGTGCAATATGCAGGCTGATACAAGATCATGGCAATCAAACCAACTTTCAGAAATTGTTACTAATTCCAATTTTACCCAAATCATTGATACTCCAACAACAATGTAATGATATGAATATGCATATGATAACTTTATAGAAAAAAATGATGGTTATTAATGCAAAAAAATGCGCCTCTCAGGAAACGGAGGATAAGAAATAGACTGCGTCTTAATGGACTAGATGAGCATGCATGTAAATGGTTTCATAGTTACTTGAGCGATTGAGCACAATTCACTGTCGTAAATGGTGTTCAGTCTTCTCCACAGAAAAATTAAATGTAGCTTACCACAAGGGTAGAATTTAGAACCACCATCATTTATGATCTTTATTAATGATTTACCAAACTGTCTTCAAAATTGTGCTGTTTCATTATTATGCCGATGATACTTGCATTTATTATAATAGTAATATTCTACAAGATATTGAAAACTATTTGTATCAAGACTTACGAGATATTTCTGATTGGCTTTGATGACTGTAATCGGCTGGCATTAAATACAAAGAAATGTGAAACAATGTTAATCGGATCTAAAAAACAGAATTCTTTTCACTGATAACATAACATTGAATCAGGTTTTTTTTGTTTGTTTGTTTATTTATTTAAATACGGTGATTAAAAAACATGCTTTCAGCTTAGCATAGGTGTTTTTCAGCATGTCCGTACATGGTACATTAAAATACATATGAATAAACAAATAAAACAAAAAAAATTAAACAATAACAAATACATAATATTAAAATAAGTAAATGTAAAGAAAGATAAATACATATAATACAAGTTCAACAAAAAAAATACAAATGCAAGTTCAACAACTGAAAGAAAAAAGAAGGGAAAAAAATTATTTATGAAACTACTGTGTGTAAAAACCCGGGGGTATACATTGATAACTCTTTAGAGTGGGATAAACATGTAGAAAATCTGTGTAAAGGTACTGTGAAGAATTTGTAGACATTGTATCTCCTAAAAAGTCAATTGCTCAAAGTAAATTAGATTATTGTGATGTTTTTTGGAATAATACGAAGAAACAACATATTAAAGATTTGCAAATTATACAAAAAATATTACTTAAAACAGTAATAGGAGAGGAAAATAAATATTCAACTAGACTTTTGTATGACAATCTGTTTTTAGATACCTTAGTTGAGACACGTAATAAACATAAAAGACTTAACCCCGTTTCGTTGACGATCAGCCATGCATCAAGTCTTTCGTCTTCTTTGTGCATGGCTGATCGACAACAAAATAGAGTTAAGTCTTTTGCCAACTCTGTTTGTTGATACGGCAGGTAGCCAGTGAAAATGAACTCGTTTAATCAAATTATGGAAATGCAAGCATTACTTTAAACAAACAGAACTTTGTTAGTCCTGGCTCATTTTTCCTGATCGAGGTGTCATATGAAAGGGCAGAAATTGAACTTTCTAGAAATGTGATTTTCTCTTTGAAATTCAAATATCGCCCGCCAAATGACTTTTTTCTCTTCATTTTGTTTTTGATCACTCATTCGTGAAATATGCATCATATGAGCTACATCAAACGAAAGAGGATCTAAGCGCTACAAATAGGTGTGATTTATTAATTATAATTGTGATTAACTTATGATAAACATCGATAATTCTCGGTTTCGTTTTTTTCTAGGACGCACTGTATGTTGTATGTGTATGTTTATTTAACTTTGTATACAAGCCATGTAAATCTGATGTACGTTTCTTTGTGACATTGTGATTCCTTTTATATTATGCACGTCCATGCTGAAGAACAGCATTATGGCTGAAGTATGCCACCGTGCTAAAATAAAATAATCGAAACGAAACGAAACGAGGAGTGTTGAACGACCCCCGCCCTCACCCCCCCCCCCCCCCCTCCCCTGCGTTTAAGTAATCCTGGATCTAATACGCGAATTTTTATCAGTTGTCTTTTCCTTGTCTTCAGGTGTATTGATGTACGTCACCAGGTGAAGGGATCGCATACTACAATGGGTGCCTCTGCAAGTCCAACCGCTAATGAAACGACTTGCTCTCAGGAATTCACCGTTGTCCATGCCTTCTCCATAGTATACTTCATTACTGTAATCGTTCTCGGAACTGTCGGCAACGGTCTGCTTCTCTGTGTCTTCATCTTCAACCGGGCGCTCTGCAAAAAATCCATCAATTACCTGATATGTGCCAACACCGTCGTCAACTTTCTAATCTCCGTTCTTTTCGACCCCATCATTGCTGCGACCAACTTTGTACCGTGCCTCGAGAGCCACCGGGCATTGTTCATGGTGCGGTTGTCATCTGACTTCTTTCTTGAGGTTTGTGTCGTTTCGTCCATCTATACTCTAACAGCCGTTGCTGCGAATCAGTACTTGCTCATCTCACGACCAAACACCACGTATAGACGATGCTGCACCGGTCGCAAGGCTGTGTCGATTGTTCTTACATTGATCTGGCTTCTCGCGTTAGTCGTTGTGATGTTATTCTGGTTTGTTGAGCGGTCTTTGGTCAAGCTTCATGAGAAGCATCAGGAGGGCCACAGGGCGATTGAAATCTCCTTCGTTTTACCATGCATCCTCAACTACTGTCCTCTGATCATCATACCTTGTTTTCAATGGGGCACTATGCGTACTATCCGAGCCAGTCGAGAAAGAGTCGCAAACAAGGCGGCGCCAAGCGCAGCTACAGTGCCCACAACCGTATCATCAGTTAGTTCCCCATCCGAGACACGGGGTTTGTCTCTCGATGGAGGTCCGACGACGTCAATGCCACTCCAACCTCCCATGGTGGCAGACAAAAATGACGACGATGAGAAGAAGGTTCGGCGTCGAGGAAAAAACGAACTGCGGACGCAGAGAACGATGATGGTGATGTACATGATCCTGGTGGTTTCCTGGACACCGTCATTGATGGCCTGGGCGAGTGTATCTGTGGGATTGAAGTTAAACAAGGTGCTCGACCTTTTTGGAGCCTTCTTGTCCGTGTACCCAGCCCTCATTCCATTTGCCTATATGTGGACAAACAAGAACTACAGCAACGTGCTAAGGAAGAAAATATGGTCTAAAATACGACCTCAATAACGCATTTCAAGATATTTAGAATTCGTCTTTTTAATGTTGTTTGAACGTTAGTATAAGTTGGAAATGCATGCTTCACTGAGCTCTATGAGAATGAAAAAGATAATTTTATTATCAATTTAGCGTTTCCTGCATGTCAAGGAGTCATACGTTTGAGAAACCTATAAATGAGCTAGGTTTGTGTAGCGCAGTCATAGCTGTTACGAACCTCATGTTAGCATCAGACTCGCTGATACGTGAAGGGGGCTTTTGATTAGATCCTGCGACCATGTCTGTCACAGGTATTTTATTATTTTTTACTTTGTATCAATACTGATGCTAATGCTGTGTTGTGAAGAGCAAGAGCCAAAAGGAGTAAAGAAACTCATATTTATATGAATTATTTCTTTAAAAATAGATTGAGAAAAGTCATGAGTTTATAGTATTTGTGTTTGTATAGGGGGTAGTCGCAATCAATTGAAACAACACGGCCGTAAGTACGGTAGACAAGTCAACCTAAAGGAATATACTATATCCTTGTGCGTCACCTATTGAATTCAGAAAAAGACAAAAAAAGAAAAAATTAGTTCATCCTTTAAAAAGTATTCAAAGAATTTCAAGATAAAATACATCGTACATTAGATGAATTCATATTAAATAAGAAGAATAAAAGGCCATCATTAAAAGCCTAAGAAGGCTTCACAGGTCTATGGTCCAAAGAGTTTTCAAGTTAAAACAATGATATTTCGGCGGAGAGAAAAAAATAAGGTTAAACAAAGGTGTTTGGGGCATTGAAGTGGAAAAATAAATTAAAAAAAACTGATAAAAATAATAATAACATATTGATAAGAGAAAAACAGGTACATGTATAACTCAAGGTTTTTTATGAATTTAGAAATGAGAGATCTCTTAACGAGGAGGACAAGAAATTCCACAGAACACAAAAGTGGCGATTTTTAAAAAATTTTATGACTGGATGAGATGCTACTCTTCATTCGTGGAATTTTATTACTTAACGAGTAATACAATAATTAACTTCATGTTTTAAAGAAAGTACGTTCATTTGATAAGAAGTAAGACTACAAAAACTAGTAATGCATTATTGTAGCTGTTTTGAACTTATTTATATCCTAAACAGTCAGTGTATACATTTATGAAATGTTAGGTTATAATGGAGTATAAAAACTTACATTACAATAAACTCGCAAAACTCTTTGCTGAAGACGGAGTATTCTCTCTAGCTTGGCTTAGTAAGATGCATACTTTCCCACACAAAATTATAGTACACAATATGGGACACGATGGGGCTGTTACACCATACTAATAATATACGACCTGGGAGAAAATGGTTTAAATGCAGTACGTGAAACTTTTGTAGAGACATAGTTGATATGGAAGTCCCATAATAAATGCTGATCAATAAATAAAAAAGGTAATTTGCACTAGGACATTGCATTGCATTTATTATCAATTATGAGAGAAGCATCAGTATATCATGCAGAAGTATTTTGCGGATGACGAAGTACGGTACTTTATAGTTTGTATTATGTTTAAAGAAAGTTGCGATTAATTTGAATCAATTAACAGTTTATAAAACAGGGCTCTCGCTTGCCCCATTTTCCATGATTATGTTCATCATGAAGCATAGGCTCTCTGTAATATAAGATACGACACTGGTGTATTTAATGATAGCGGCACATCCGGCCAGTGCACCAAATGGTACCATACTATAATACACACAATACAGTATGTGCCCCCGATTGAGGTTTTGATTGCCCCCAACAAAAATACACCCTGAATTGTTATAACCCCTCTTGTCCCTTATTCGGGGAGGGGGGAGGGCTTGTCATATATTAGGCAAACTTAGCCCCTTTTTTTATTTCAAAATCCTGGATCCGCCCCCGTGATAAACGATACCTAGGCAGCATAGATGGATTCAATTACTTAGAGATGAATTCTTAATTGTTAAGTACAAGAGGAATTCGTAATTATATTCTCCATTTTCACTAGTCCTTGGCAATATAATTCATTACCGACATCCCTACATCGATGAAATGATTGAACTGTAATTAAAACCGCTGAATATGTGAAACTTGTTTTTCAACAGCAGGGTAGGTGGAGAGGGATCGCTATGACGACGAATGAAAACAACATTCATTTTCGAAGATTTATTGAATAGGTGCTTGCAGGGAGTTTTTGATAGGACTAATAACTCCTTCTTGATAGGCCTAATAACTCCTTGGTGCTAGCGCATCAAAGAAGTCATGCCGATTGTATTGTGTCCTTTCGTTTTCTTTGATATTTATACGTGAGGGTTTAATGTTGGAATGAAAGAGTCGAATAAAGGAAGATCAAACTAGTGGTAATTTATAACAATAAAGAAGAATATAACATAATTAAAGGATGTTAAATAATCTGATGTGGAAATGCTTGTTTGTTTGTATTTCTGATATTTCATGCCGTCGAATTAATTTCTTTCAGAGCAATACCAATAATTGTTTATGTTGATTGAGACTACAGGACTTCATAGATAACCTTATCCCACGTATGAGAACATCCAAATTGATAACGTTCAGTCAAGATAATTAAAGTAGTCGCCACAGCCTATTAGTTGATAATTCTTTTCAATTTGAAATTACTAAACATCTATTGCAAAGTCAAAACAAACGATAATTATTATAAAAGCCTCTTCTCTTATCGATCCCGCCGGGGTATGTTAAATATAAGTATTTAACTAATAAGCAGATAAGTGTTTAACGGATCCTCCCGTTTGAATAAACTCTTCTATATTCAGTTCTAAGAAACATGCTTTAGGCGACAATTGCTCCGGAGTCAATTTCTTCCGCTAAAAAATCCCTAACTCTGGACAAATGTGTAACGGGAGTAAATTTGTGTTCATCTCATACAACGCCATTCTGATATTTGAAGTTGTCAAAGCCCCACTAAAGTGTTGGGAGCCCCAAATTCGCAAAAAAATTGATTGTAAAAATTCACTTCAATTGTATCATAATGTGAAAAAGGAAGTACATTTTTGCAAGGATTTAAACAAAAATGTGTTTGAAGTCGAATATTGATAAGAGAATACAAAATTGAGGTTTTCTGTGTACAACCATGGACCTAATTGTAGTAGGGTCCATGGTACAACAGAAAACCCAAACTTTGAGTTATTTTCTTGAAAGTCTTTGCGATCGTGTTCTCAAAACATTCTTATACATTAAAAGCCTATTCATAATGTGACTTTGGCACAGAAAGAGTTATTGGCAAATTGATTAAAGCTATGTAACGAGCATATCGGATTTGGGCAATTTGAATCTAGTCATGTGACATTAAAGGCAGGGTATTCTACTGACACTACTTCAGATTTAAGTGAACTGTCACCTGCTGTTCACAAAGATGTGCCGTCAGCCATACCACACAATGCACCAGTTACCGCGCGTGATGATGCCAGGGAAACAGAAACACGAACAGGAAATCGCTCTATGTACACCTTTACCGAAAGATGGCGCAATTGAAAATCGCAATTATGTTTTCATCGGGTCAATTTAATCTAATGATAAAACCAGACATTTGAAGGGAGAGTCCACCCTGTGGATGGTTTTTACTCCGCCTTTACTTGGCCACACACATTCTCAGGGTGGACTTCCCGTTCATTGCTACCGGGGCTAGACTCGATAAGCTTCGCTTTTTCTGGCCCCATCTACATTATTTACCTTTTTATGTTTTAATGTTGATGTTTGTTAACTGATGTAGATTTTCATTGTTCTTTTAAGCTTATGTATCTGTCTTTCATTTGCTCTATGTGTCAAATGTGTACAATGTATTCTCTTACCTTTTATATTTTCTGGTTTTTAATGTGGAAAATAAATGAAAATAAATGAAATGAAATGGTCCTTTTGTGAGGCATTAATCCTCATTACTGTCATTTATGACTTAAGGGCGTGGGTCCCCTAGTTGATAAGCATAGTAGCATACACATGCTTTAGCAGTCACGCAAAACACACATTGGCAAATTATTATTCAATAAAATCTGAGAATGTATACTATATTATCTAGATCTATTATTTTTAAATTATTTTTAAAATAATTCCATAAATTGGGGTAAAACTAAAATATTCCAACTATATGAGGGGGCACTTAATTATCAGAGGTGGTAATCTAGAGGCACTTACAATGTATACGAATGTGGAACGAACAACTATTATAAATAAAAAGGGACACTTTTCCTCTGTAAAAAGGGGCACTTGAGGGGTACCTGAAACAGTGGGGGAGGGGGCATTTTGCGAATTCGGAAGCAAAGCTTCCGAATTCGACAGTCTTGACGATGCCTCCGTTGTTGGTCTCGCAATTACTATTTTTTCGCTTTGTTGCTGAATTAGGTTCGCAAAAGCGCTTTTAGGTAGATGTGGTCTCGCATTTAGCAGAAAAAGAATTTTGTTAGGTAGGTTTATTTCTATTTCTCTTTAAGAAGTGGGGCGGGGGGGGGGGGGGTCGAGCCCCGTCGTAGCGCGGGCACTAGTAGTCTGGTACATGTTTATTTAATTTCTAAAATAATGACCTTAATTGCATTAATTTGACATTGTGATCAGCGAAATGGAAAGATTACAACCGTATGAAAAATGATGTACTTCAATTATAACGGAGGTTAATATCCTAATTGGATCTAGAGAGGACCGTGACATCGGATCCATATTGCTCCATCATGCGTTAAGTCTGAGACACTTTTAATAATTTAGGAGAAGGTTGTCAGACTCAACTCGTTATCTTAAATTTTCCATCAAGCAAAGGAAGAAAAAGAAACACAATAGAAGATCGAAAAAGTTATGAGGTCGTCTTTTTCGTGTGATTTCAAACTCCGAATGTACTGAGAGTAAATCTCTTTTTTGTGAGGGGGGGGGGTGGGAGGAGTTTTTAACCTCACCTCACCGACCCTTCTTTCTTCAGGGCCTTGTTATTGCAATCAATTAAAACTATTGCGACCTATCGTAATAAGTAAATTTGATTCAAAACATGACGATCACTAGTATATTTGAATGAGTGTCAGGGGCAGTTTGCCCCTCCTGAGAAATTTCCAATAAAAAAAGAACTCTGCCAGAATTTAAATACTAATCGGTAGCAGTATTTGCAGGTATAACTGCAAATACATGTTATGTTGCTTTGATTTTAGATCTTGACGCTTTTAATCAATCCATTCTAGCTTTTAAGTCCCCGTTTCTTCCTAAAAAAAAGTCTTTGGGGCACCCCCGCCCCCGCAACGCAGACCAGAGCCCTCAACAAATTGTTTCCTTGCCGAACTATAATTATAGGTATTAGATTATTAGCCCCTCCTTAGCCCAAGTACTGGATACACCAATAATGATAATAACATAGTTAAATTATATCCACGACCTGAGTGATTCCGTTAAGAAGATCGTCATAATTGTTTGAAAGCACTCAAGCATATTGATTGATGGCACGTAGCATTTCAGTTCAAAACGTGTTGCACTCAGTGACCATATAATTATATCCATCGATTAGAATTTGGGAGTGATAGCTCGGCGTGTCTGTCACATATTAGTTTAACAGCTCTTCTCATTCTGATATTGATGTGAGAAACAAAACTCACGTCAGAAGCAAGTCCGGGAAGCAAGTTCGTAATATTCTGGAAATTAACAGTACTCTTGATTTTACCAACGGTGGGAATTTTTTGATGGCACTCGCAAGAAACCGAATTGTTTTGTTCTAGACTTTTGTTGTGTTTCATTAATTTTCAAGAAAGGACTCTTCTCGACCAAGGGTGTCGACCATAGTGTTCAGGACGCTGCTAGATAGTTCGAGTTGGAGAAGTTGTTCGTCTGGTCGCCATTTTATTTGTTTTCATGATAGCGATGGAAATGAGTATTTGACTTGTGCATAACATTCGGTATCAAGGGGCATAAAGGCAACACATTCTGTCGTTATATAGTTTTGATCTGGTCGTTTAAACTTGTAAATATGGAATCAAATAACTCTGATAACACGGATTATGTACAGCCGAATATTCCATCTATTTATTCATATTTCATGTCCTTAATAATCATTGGGATAGTCGGAAACCTACTCATTGTTGTGGCCTTTGCTTCTGATAAGAAGCTTCGCCGTGTCACCGCCAACATTTTCATCGTGCATTTAGCAGTCGTAAACCTCTTTGCGGTCATCACAGTCACCCCTCTTTATATGTATGTTGTAGATGTGCATTTGAATATCGCCGCGAAGAAATTCCGTGATGTTATCTACCCGGTAACCATTGCGATATCGTTGGAAAGTTTGACAATGGTAACCGTCAACCGTTACCTCCTCATCAAGCAGAGCAGAAAGGCCTACCAACGACTCTGCACTGGTCGAGCCATACCGGTTGTACTCATCATCCTGTGGGTGTTGACGTTATCTAACGGTGTACCTTTGTGGATCAACTTCAGTACCGAAGAAGACGAGATGGTGACGCGGCGAAATATGATGATATATCTGATCATCAACATTTTACCAACACTTATTATTGTCCCTATCACCAATGTGATGACTTTGCGTATAATTTCAAAGAGTCGAATGAGAGTGGCATGTGCTTCAAGCTCTGTCAAAAAGACCCCTTCGACGTCAGCACGGGTAAAATGCGTTTCCTTTGCAGGCGAGAAATCAAAACAGACGATAACAAATGACTCAGAAATGTCACCTCAAAACGGTCTCAGGAGTTGTAACAACTTCCAGAACGACGGGGAAAGTAAAACTGACCCGTCAGATGAGTTTAAAATTAACATATCAGGAGGAAATGTGGAAAATCCTACAAATATGACTCGGCAAAACAAGAGCTTTGACATTGATCTACCTTTACAGCAGGGACATGGACCCTCTAAAGAGGTTAAGGACCTTGCTTCGTCACCATCAAATACACTTGCAACTGAAACAAATCCGACACCAATGGAACCCGCCTTAGTGACACATGCTAAGGAATCTGATGGAACTGTTACGGATGCACAACCATCTTCTGTCATGTCAGCAGAAGACCCAGAGATAAAAGAAAATAATTCCAAAAAGCCGAACTTGGTTCACTTGGACAAACCGAAGATCCTCCAAGTCGGTCGAGGAGAACTCAAGCTAATGCGACTAATGCTTGCCATGCTTATACTCTTGTTGATATCATGGGTTCCGATTGTCATAGAAATCTTTCGCCAGTTCGAGATAACCAATTCATTACAGAATATGATCTTCTACGTTCACCTCATTCCAATGTTCCCGTCCATAGTACCTTACATCTACCTATGGAGTAATGTTCATTTCCAGCGAGTGCTTATGAAACGCGTAAGGCTTCTTTGCAGAGTCTGCTGTCATACCAAGGCAACTGCGGACAGACAAGAAACAACATTCTACTAGTGAAACATGTTGGACGAACCACTCTATTCAAATACCTACTATATACATGATACATTTCTTTGGAATGTTCGGCTTCAGTAGTGATTCAGGAAGTGCTGTAACGATTGATATTGGAACAAAAAATTGGATGCTCCGTTCCATCCTGAATTGGACCGCACTTCTCTGATTTTATCCATGAAATAATTCGTGCGATCTTCCTGTTACAGACTATCTTTAAAAAGAGCAACCGGCCAATAGAAATGCCATGTAAATTTGTGAACAAAATTATTAAACTCTCCCTCATCCCGTGTCGGTCTCCAGTTTCTAGTGGGACGTGACCATCGGGCCAGGACCATCGTGAACAGCTTCCTCCACAACATATTAAAGCGAATTGCCGACGAGGCTTCTCGTCTCGCTCAGTACAAACATTGCAAACACCTATAACTTTCTCATAATATATAGAAATTTATTTGAATTTTCGCCATTTTGGCAGTACCTGACTGCCGAAATCTTAGAATTTGCTGGCAACGCGCTGCCAACGACAACAAGACATCAATATGCCGGTCTCCATTGAAAAGCGGCACGGGATGAGCGCCGAGACCTTGCCTCGATGCGGGCCCTCTACTTTTTCCTCTACCAGACATGATGTTTTGCTGAGAGCGAAGCGAAGTTTAAAACTTATTCATAACTCGAAGCGTGCCGAATGTTCATCACATATAGCACCAACTATTTCCAAGAGGGATTAAAGATGCTATCATAAACAATAAGTGATTTACATTGAGCTTGTTGCCTGGATGATCCGGAATGAAGACTGGAAAGCACTGTGGTATATATGTAAAGGCTCGTGACTCTCAAACGAAAGGTCCCAGGTTCGATCTTAGCTCGATGCTTTGACAAGATGCTTTGCCGACATTTGTCACTCTCGACCCAGGTGTATTAAAGATAAACTCCAGTTCTGGTAAAAAAAAAGAAAATTAATTCTCACAGAATCAAACAAAACTTACACTGAATGTTGAAGATTACAAATAAATGACATGTGCCAAACAATTTTGGAAGAAAATGTATACTGGCCGAGTAATGAGCATAGAAAGACAAGGAAATCAAGGTAGTACCAGCCCCGACACCATGTGTGTTGTCCCATATATAGCTTTCTGTGTACAGTGCTTGTTACTTTACCAAGACTCGGCCAAATTTATTAAACTTTTGATGACTCCAGAACCTTGCAGTGCACACCAATACTTACATGCTACATGATCAACTGTTTCTGATCCATTCCATACCTTTTCTTTCACAATGCAATCGCATTAACAGAACTCACCTTTATCTTTAATTGGATGTTTGGCAATGTTGATAATAATTGCAGTACCGGAAAAAAGAGAATTGTATTGATGTTGCTACCCCGGGTAATTAAAACCAAGGTATCACGTTTGTATGAATCACAAGCATACATTTGAGAACACAATTTTATTGGTAATTGCGGGATTCTGGAGTTTAAAATACAGTGTTTGATGTATGATTGACAGATCCCATCGATTTCAAGGCTCTCATATTAAGAAAGAAAGCAAATATTTATATAGGTTTAGTATACATTGTATATAGTTACAGTTATATTTTCGGCGAATGGAGAACCGAGGATTTTCAATATGGATGAGAAGTGAGATCGTGTATTTGTAGTGTTTTATTTTTCAATTTCCAGTATATTTGAAGACGTAATTACATTTTCACTCCAATTACTAGTCAAAAATCTTCTTTCACTCACTTTGCTCGGGGTGAAATTTAGAAACCAGAAAAATGTGAGTCGGCCAAAAGACAGCTGCCCCCTTCATTTTCCTGCGAATCGTGCCTGTGCAAATATAATATAAGGATAATTGGGATCCGAAGCCTTTTGTACGTGTAGCTTTAGTGATACTGTAAATATTTAATTTCACAAATGTAATGTATAACAACTTATTCATGCTGATTCACTGATTTTGCAGCTATTTAGAATGAATATATACTTATAAAGAGCATTTAATGGAATACTCGGTTGTGATAATTTCTTTCCGGCAGTTTCCACCTAAACTGTATATACAATCATTAATGTATCCTATTTAAATAAAAGCGATAATTTCATGTTCTGTAATATTAGTACACATTTTAATACATGTATGTCCTAGCTTGTATTGAGAAAATGGAATAATAGGATTTCGGAAAATAAGAAGAAACTGAATCTCTGTGGGTATAGCGCTAGATCAGAATTACAGAGTGCATTCAATGGAGGGCCTGGTCAGTGGTCACTCCCTTTAATTTAAAAAGAATGATGTTGTATTAGGTATATAGGCTGGTCAAAGCATTTAGAGATGTTACTTTAGTGTGCACGGAGGCCTTTCGGTAACTAGCTGTATAGATAAATCCCTGCATGCTGTGGATTGGTCCAGGCGCGGATCCACGGGCCTAATTCTTTCGGCCCGGCTATGGCAAGCCCTTTGTGTAAAAACTAGATAAACTCTGGTTTTCTCAGATAAACTCTGTTTTTCTCAGATAAACTCTGTTTTTCTCAGATAAACTCAGTTTATCAACAGATAAACACAGTTTATCAGAAAAACTCAGTTTATCAGTTGATAAACCCAGTTTATCAAGAAAACTCAGTTTATCAATGATAAACTCAGTTTATCAACAGATAAACAGAGTTTATCAGATAAACAGAGTTTATCAGTTGATAAACTCAGTTTATCAGAAAAACTTAGTTCATCAGTTGATAAACTGAGTTTATCATTGATAAACACAGTTTTTCTGATAAACTGAGTTTATCTAGTTTTCACACAAAGGGGTTGCCATAGCCGGGCCGAAAGAATTAGGCCCGTGGATCCGCGCCTGGATTGGTCGTCATGAATGGCATTCATAACGTTTGACTTTTTGGTTTTCACATAAAAAAATATATTTTTTAACTCTTGGAAAGAAAGAAACTTTGCTGAATAATATTTATTTAAATGGCATTTTATTCATGGTCATGTTATCAGAGGAGATATCATGACTTTAAACAATATAATTTATGTGCTGATTTGGCGCATACTCTGTTTCCGTTCTTGATGAAATTTTTATTGGAAAGGAAACGTTGGAGAGAAAAGTCTGAATTGGATGGATTATAGTTATGAAAGCATGTACAGAATTGAATCAGTCTGCACAGTCTAAATGTTATCAATGTAGCATAGTGAATTTTCTTTTGGCGCAAAAGCTGATTGTACGTATGATAACATTTTAATTATTTTGTAAATATATGCTTCGGCTAGCTTTATGTATTCGATGCATACCAGGCGCGTACGCAGGATTTTTTCAAGGGGGAGGGGGGGGGGGGGTTTAACATTTATAAATCGGGCCGAAAATTTCGCAACGACTCAGCCAGCCGCTGAATAAGCGGGGGGGGGGGGGGGGGGGGTAAGAGGTCACTTTTTTTTTTTTGCTACGTTAGGGGGGGTAAGGTCATCTTTTTGAGGTCAGCCATGGGAATTTTTTTTTTTTTTTTTTTTTAAATAAAAAAAAAAAAAAAAAAAAAAAAATCCAAAGGGGGGGGGGGGGGGGGTTTAGGGAAATTTAGGGAGTTTTTACACACAAAAAAAATACCAAAGGTGGGGGGGGGGGGGGGGGGTTTAACCCCCCAAACCTCCCCCCCCCCCCCCCCCCCTGTGTACGCGCCTGATGCATACTCATATTGATTAAATGAAAGCAGAAGCATGTCCAGAGGTACTTGCATTATTTCCTCCTGAATGATGACTGTGAAGATATAATGTATGCTTATAAATAACAATACCACATTTTCCAGTCCGGATCCTTCTCAATGTCGTCAGATAATGATCTACAGACAAGCATAATTGACATAATCAACCAAATGTTTAAAAAAAGAATATCAGAGAGAGAGAGGGGGGAGAGAGAGAGAGAGAGAGAGAGGGGGGAGAGAGAGAGAGAGAGGGGGGAGAGAGAGAGGGGAGAGAGAGAGAGAGAGAGGGGGGGGGGGGGGAGAGAGGGAGAGAAAGAGAGAGAGAGAGAGAGAGAGAGAGAAAGAGTGTGTGTGAGAGAGAGAGAGAGGGGAGAGAGAGAGAGTGTGTGAGAGAGAGGGAGAGAGAAAAGAAAAGAGTGTGTGTTGATAAAGAGAGTAGTAGTTTTGTAGAGAGAGAGGGGGAGAGGGTGCGTGTGTGTACGTGTGTGTGTGCTTGTGTACACGAGAGAGTTATGTGTGTGGGAGAAAGAGAGAAAGAGAGAGAGAGAGAGGGAGGGAGGGAGAGAGAGAGAGAGAGAGAGGGAGAGAGAGAGAGATAAAGTGAGAGAGATGAGTCGAGAGAGAAACAATAGAAGGAATAAAAAGTATGATTGGTTCCAACGTCAAATTATAATTCTTTTGAATCTTTAATTCACCTCTCCCCGTGTCTGCCATACTATTAATCGTCAACTATTGGCGTCATTCGATACCGTATCCATGCTTTTTCATTATCACTTTATACTGAGTGATTTTTTTTTCTTCAATCAGTCATAATCGAAAAATTGAGTGGATGTAACGAAGTTCGTGTGGGATTGGTTTCACGCATAGCAGCGATCATCAATGTTTGACTCCCATGTTTATCACAAACCTGCTTGTGACTCTGATTGTGTTGATTTAATAATGATGATGATTGATTGTGATCATGACTATGGTTATGATTATGATATAGTCAATTCATGATAACTGTGTATGAAGAAAATTCGTACAAGAGTGTATTACTCCAGTCAAAACTAGTGTCCCTCGAAGATAGACGGGTGAAACTCTGTCTCTCGTTCGCAAAATCCATGCAACTTTCCTCATGCAAACTGCATCACCTTCTACCAAAAAGTGGGCCTTGTAACTATCAGACTAGAAACGCAATAGCCACTGTAGAGTTACGATGTCGAACTACAAGACTTAGAAACAGCCATGTGCCTTCTTTGATTCGGCATCTTAACACTGATAGGATTGATTATAAAGAAAAGTGGGTGTTTTAGGTGTTGTTTGTTTGTATTTTAAATTTAAATTT